GCCGCTGGTACACGGTTCTTTTTCCTTTTCTTTTCATCTTCCCTTGCTCTCTCTCTCTCCCCCCCCCTCTCCCTCTCTCTCTCTCTATTTTAGCATTATTTTCAACTCGGTCGAAAGGTATCACGAGCACTCTTCCATCTCAACGGTCTACATCGGCCGCTTGATTAAAAATAACACGCGTATATATGTATATGTCATGAAACACTTTCCATTTTATTATCGCCTGAAGTCGAAGCGTTTGCATTCCGACGAGCAAACGAAACGGCTCGCTTTATCGCGACATTTTTTTAAACGGCCAGAACGAAAAATTCTCACCTTTCTTTAAAAGGAAAAAAAAAATATCCTCATAAATCGCAATGGAATCGTATAAACTTTCATCGTCGAAATGAAACGTTATATATATGCTTAGAAATCAAAAGTAGATGCTTTGCTTTTTTTTGTTTTTTTTTTTTTTTAAGCGAAAATCGGTAACAACCATACGGTAGAATTTTCTTTCTGAATAAATTCCAACTATTTAATAGTAATTTTAATTTCATCATTTAATAGCTACATTAGAAATTTTCAAAGATAATGAGTTCCAGTGAATTTATACTATCTCTCTGAAACTCTGAAAAATATATGAGAACGTAATACAACTTGTACGTATAATTTTTCCATCTTCTTATGCAGTTTAAAAATCGAAAAAATAATATGAGAGATGGTCGAAAAAAAAAGAGAAGAGAATATTGTCCTTTTTGAAAGTGTTCAAAAGAATATCGCAGATACGGGTTCGACAGGTTTGGTTGCCCATAGCAACCGGTCAAGTCACGCGATGGATTTCGTAGTAAATGGTAAATGGTCGGTCGATGATAAACGGCGAGTGTGGTTCTCGTGGAAATACGCTTCGGTCATAACGTACGCCCGACCGAAAACAGTAATCCGTCAATACATCCTGCTAGTACAGGACGGCTTTCCGTCACTAATCACTAATTAGTCAATTAGCTCACGCAGTTTTGCTAATAACGATGGGCGTACCGAGTTACCAACTGGTTCGGTGCACCTGCTGCAACACCAACGAGGACTACGACGACAACAACAACGAAGACGACGACGACGATGACGACGACGACGACTGATTTGACGAGTGGCACTGTTTCATCGATAGTATTTCGATTATGGTTCCTACCGTAATTACTATTGCATCGACAAACTTGGCACCTTTCGTATGCTCGTACACATATATCCATTTATACTCACACGTACGAGATTGGTACTTTACATGAACGCATTGAAACGATCCTTAATGGATCATGGTAAAGGAGTTAATCTCGTTAATCTTTAACTTCTATGCTAATCGAATTTATGTTCCTGAGAATTTCGTATCCTGTAATATTGTAATTTCTTCGAAACATTTTTATCCACTAGAATCTGTCAATAAAAATTGTTCAAAGATATTTTTCAATATTTATCTACGTACGAACGTAGACTCGAATCTTTCGGATTCTTTAAATAATGCACAGAGCATCCGATACAACAGCACCATTTGACTCTTCATCCTTCGAAGCGTTAAGCTCGTTACTGTATCCGTCCGTGGCACCTGCTCCTGCAATCTCATCGCAGGAAACGGCTGGTTACGCATCGAGAAAAAGTGCAAAGTAACGCCGAGAGACACGATTCGTGGGGGAGTCATGTCGTTGCTAAGAGAAGAGAAGAACAAACAAATTAGAAAAAGTAAAAGAGGAGAAAACGAAAGGAAAGATTTGAAACGATACCTTTGGCGATTTGGACGAATAATCATACTTCTTTTTACCCTTCTCTTTTAACCTTCTCTCTAAATTTCTCAGTACTTTCTCGTAAAATATTCACCTCCTGATTATGCGATCTCGCAAATATTTATGTTACCGAAGCGGACGCGTTCGACCGTTCACAAATAACAGTTTAATAGTTGCCTCGAGAGATCGATACTTTTGCTTGTCTTCTTGCTTTGACTTTTGCATCTGTAGTCCCTACGCAAGCTCGAGAACATTCCGTGGCTATCTTACAAATTTTGGGAAGCAAGTTTAACCCTTAAGTCAATAATTAGCGAAGACTTAATGAGGATCCAACGCACTGCTCGGTAAATAGCCCTTCTAATAACACCAATTAATTAATATGGAAAGTTTTTTCTTTTATTTCGTGGAAAATACGGTAAGCTAAAGTAAAGTCGGAGAAGAAACACCTCACCTATGCATCGAGTCTTGCTTGGTTCGGTCGTTCATTTAGAAGCACTCTCCGTAATCTACATCACCTTTGTACCATTCTCTATATAAATACCATACACGTCGACATTATTATAGTTTACTAATCGTTCTCACCGTTATTGCAATAATGAAATTGCGCTGAAAGTCCGTATGCATTGGTGACTAGGAGACGTACATAATATACATACGTCAGAACGTTCGGATTCTCAACCGTTTCTGTGTTCGCGAATTCTTGCATTAGGAATTGTCTAGAGGAACTTTGCCGTGAAACTCCGAAACCGAGAACATGCACTAGGGCTTGTAGCGCGTTAACTCTAAAAGCGCGTTACCACTAACGGCGGAGTAAAAGGGAGAGCGAGAGGAGAAGGGGAAGGAAGGTAGAGTGCGACGAGAAGGAGGAGGGGCAAAAGGAGCCGTAGGTGGTGGGTGATAGGTGGAAGTGGGGGTTGGGAGAGAGAGGGAGGGAGGGAGAGAGAGAGAGAGAGATGCCAGAACATAGTTGCCATCTGCGTTCGCTCTAAATTATAGTCGTCACAGTGGCGAAGTAGGAACTAATTAACAACTGACAACGACAACAGGATACTACGCGAAATCTCTCGTCGAAGTTATCACACTTACAACGTAAAATCATTTTCTCCCGACGACTTTCGTCCTTATTTATATCATATTCTTCAGTCGAAGCAAACAAAGTATTTTTCTTATTTTATTCTTTCCTCTAATCGACGAGTATCCTCTTCTAAATCGACACGTTTGAGGAACAAACGAAATTTATAACGACACTTCACCTGTCTACTTTCCACGTGGAGAGATACACTTAGAACGATGAAAAATGAGGACGCTTCGAAAACTGTTGCTTTAGAACGACCTAACGCAGCTCGAACAATATTTTTCACTGTCGCGCACCGCGACAAGTATTGTCCTATTCGAGGAATCTTGCGAATGAGTTCGGTGGATTCCATCTCTCCGCTATCGATAAGAAGACGGCTTTGCCATCGAAAGATTTGTTGTCCTCGACCTCCAGGCATCTGCGAGGATAACTTATCAAGCGACGTCACCGGACTTTGGGACACTTCTTACGAACTTTTCACGAATTCCTTTGGGAACTCCTCTCGGACCGTTCCTCTTCTCCCTTGAATTTCATCATTTTCACCCTCGTACCGAGAAGCACCGAGCCGTAACGCGTGAGAGGAAGTCGCATCGACCTTTGACTGAATTACGAGGGAAGAATAAATTCGGATTTCGCGGGGCTTCTTCGGCGCTTTCGACTTTACGATCGTCGATTCTTCGACGTCGAAAGTCCGCTGTACTTTATCACGGGGTTTATTCTCGGTTGGTTTTCACGCGTGACTTTTCAACGGAATAATAATCACGTACGATTTTCCTTACGACGAATCCATCGAAATGAATCGTCGAATCGAACCAATCTCTTTTTTATCGATTTTTACGTTTATTTACGAATCGTCGACGATATCTTAGCTTCGTCTTGAAAACTGTACGTTCCGTGCGATCGAGTAGATAAAATCGGGCGTCATCGTTTGCCCGAACGCAATGAGAAACGTTGAAACGTCAGATGCTCTTTCAGAGACAAAATCCTCTTGCAGTCGCGCGATAACGACGGCGACGAGATTCTCCTCGTCGGCCGTGCGTGAAGTTTGTGATACAATGTTGAGTTAACCTCGTGTAAATAGCAGCGGCTAAAGCTAGACGGATACTATGTCGAACAATACCTCTTTGTCGGCTAGGAAACCGGCTGTGTTTCTCATCTCGCAAACAAATGGTCTTGTTTAGCTATGCAATAACGATATCCACTTCGTCGTTGGTATTATTACTTCTATGAGAAAATCAACGGAGCGAAGCTTGCTCGCTGTCCTATCCGACTTTAGATTCGTTTCACGATATATATATATATATATATATATATATATATATATTTCCCTTCGTGAAAATTAATCTCACGAGTTTATACGACCGCGACGAGCTTCTTTCTCGGAGATTCGCCAATAACTTTGTGAGAAAACAATATTTATATTTTTCGAAACTTCGATCAGGTTTCGACGTCCGAACGTTCTCGTACGTATTCCGTCCGAAGAAAATACCAAATAGAGTCATAGTTTCGTTGGTTAAGCCTGTCAGAGCGATGATATATTTCACTTACACGTTCGTGACGTTTTGCATTTAGACGCGACGTGTTTACGATTCCGTACGTAAACTGTCGCGTGTCGTCTTCTGAAAGTAATTAGACGTGTCGTTGTATTTTATCGCCGATTCTCGTACAAAAGAATCGTTAATTTTTCATTTATGATTTCTCAACGACCGTGACGTTTAAGAACGAACATTTATATGCGTTGTAAACGTCGGTAAAAAAAAGAAAAAAAAAACATATTCTGGAACGGATCGTACATTTCGCCAGGAGGAAAACATTTATCTAATCTCAGAGTCATTTTCTCCCTTCTTCCTTTTTTCATTTCGTCTTCTAACACTTTGTTTTATCGCTTCGACGATTATAACGAAAAAGTACATATTTATACAGCAGCATTTACTTTACGAGTCATACGCCATAACGGTCCAAAGTATCTCGGCGCCGTGTATTTAATCGAGCGACTGAAGTCTTCTCGTAAATAAATTCGCGTCGGATTGTTTTCCAATTATCGTGGTTAGAAATCATTGAGAGGACGAGCGTATAAAAACGATTGGACGACTGGAATCATCTCGGAACGTGAAAAGACGTTCGGATTCTCGAGAGATAAGAAGAACTAACGATGAGAATGACGCTCCTTGCAG